AGAAGGGCATTTTATTTGTTACATACATATATTGTGGAGATGCCTATGAAGGCCCTTGGCAAATTTAAGAGGTAGGCAAATACAACTAAGAAAAAAAGCATGAGCCATGTCATCAATAAATCAAAAGGCAAGGTTAGATGGCTTATAAAATATTTCAATGTTATTTAAAGCTCTTGCTGCAAAGCATCAGGTAAACAACTTCCATGCTTTTCAGGAGGAATTTCTAGTATTTCATTCTATTAATACTGACAGAGACCTGTCCATTTATTTCTTCTCTAGGCAAAGTGGACATAAATAGAGTTAAGTAAGATATTTTATTTTGCATCAAGCTCCATGTAGCTACTTTGAAACTTTGTAAGGGCTGGTTACTAAATCTGTTCAGGCAGCTTAATGTAAAGAATCACCTTGCAGTAAGTTTTAGCAATAGAGGACCATCCCATGATGCACTATGGCATTCACAGACACCATTGTCATGGCATGTGTGCAAGTGGATGTCTAAAGTTCAGCATTTCAAAAACAACCATGCCATCCATATAAAAAGCATTTAGACATCAGGAGTCTACCAAAAAATGTGTGGATGAATTAAGTTCTAGGCAGATAAGATTCATCAATTTTAAACAACTGAGGATAGTAAAACTTATTAACTAATCACAGATATTGAGCCAGTTTCCACAGACACACTAAACAGTACAGTGAAACTGGTAAGTGTATGATACAAAGCTCTTGTCAGGCCTTATCCTGAATACTGGGCACCATTTCTAGTCATCTGTACTCAAGAAAGATGGACTGAAAGAGAAATACACCCGGAGCCACCCAAAAAGGATAATCAAGGCAATAAGAAACCTCTCTTCAGAGGAGATGGAAAGGTTTGGTGGTTTTAGTTCAGAGATACAAAAACTAGGAGAAAAGATGATTGCTCTCAACAGTAGGGCAAATACCAAAGGTGGGAAACAAGGACTTGTGAAGATAATCACACTGGCAGAAGAACAAGGAGGTATAGCCTGCAAATTAATACATTTGGGCTGGATTCAGAAGAAAACTTCCAAGTATTAGATAAATGATATTCTGGAAAAACACTGCAATTAAAGGTAGGGCATGGTGCTAAACAAACTTTCTTTTAAAACAGTAATTAATGAGTTGAAGAACATAATTATTCAAACTAGTTGCTGTGACAGCAGCATTCTCTACAGCTGTATCCTGAGGACTCAGCAGGTTTAATTGACTCTGATTAGAAAATTAACAGAGGTGCAGCTAAAAGCAGAAAGTATGTTCCTGATTCAGACTTTTCAGACTTCATTAGAAAAAACCATCTATTTCAGTCATAGACAAAGGGAATAGTGAAGCAACTTGCCAGTCAGCTATCGCAACTGACAAATCACATAGAAGATAACAATTTTGCAAGCTGCCATTTTCTTGAACTAGGTAAGAAATAGAAGTAATTTTAAAAGGACAAATGTTAAGAGTAGTTATTTCTTAATCTGAATTTTAGTTTGGGATTTGTTTTATATACATTTTTCGAGAAGATTTGTCAGAATACAACCAAATAAATACCATTCACTTTGGAAAGACTCATTAATTTAATTTGGAAAAATTGACCCCTCAATAGGAAAAAAACCTAAAGTCAAATAGTTTCTCCAATAATGTACTGATAGTGATGTTCATCTTTCAATATGTGTCAGGATTTTCATATTCTTATCAGGCAGCAAACTTCAATAGTTCAATCAGCAAACTAATTCTCCGTTTGACATCTATTGATACTGCTCCTATCTGTGACTATTATGCATTTACTGGCAAACCTCACTATGGCAATAGCTTTTAAAACTGCAGTTGAAATGAAAATCTGTTTTTTCTGTTCTTAAGGCAATAGTGCCATCTCGTGGGAAATATTCAGCTTTGTGTCCTATGCTGGGCAAAGGAGCCCGGAGCCTTTCTTAGACAATAAATTGAGATTTTATTTTTTTTTCCGTAAGTTGGCTCCCTCAGTTTAACACATAAACTTTCATCTAAAAGGTCCACTAGCCCTTTCTAGTCACTATGGTAAGGTTTCATAAAGTTTTGGCTCAGCTCCAAGGTGTTCTACAAACCACAGCCCCTGTTTGGGTACACACCAAGGGAGCACACGTCCTGCATCCTGCCAGGAGGGTCCCATGGGCAGGAGGGAGAGCACCCAGCCCAACTGCAAGCAATGCTACTCTGCATTGTCCAGCAAGACCAGCCTTCCTGACCAAGTCCATGCTGTGAGTCCTCGGCCCTGCTGCACATTACACACACACACACACACACACATTTCCAGTCACATCTTAACCTTGCTTCTCTTGTCAACATTTTCAGATCATTTTATCTGATTTTGGGCCTCTTTTCATTTTATTGGCTTTTTCCTTCAGTTTCTGCAGAGTCAAAACAAAAACATCTCACAAGCCAGATAGCACCAGACATCTTTTTACATTTAAAATGCTGCCCGTCCTGCAGAGTGTAAATGATGAAGTTACATCTGGTTTTTCCACAAGCAATGGGTCTTCTTTATTTCCCTTTTTAATAATGGGGGTTATTTTTGCCCTTTTCCAGTCCACGTGAAGTTCATGGGACTGCCATGACTTCTCAAATATGATGGACAGTGCCTTAGTCACTTCCTTGGCTAGTTCCTGTGGATGTTACTCTTGTACACCTTCATACTGGACTTGTGCACCTTCAGGCTCCTGAGACGTTCTCAAAACACATTCTCTTTCTACAGCAGACAATTCTTCATTCTCCAAATCCTTGATTTCACCTTCTACAACTTTGGCGATGTGGCTGGAGCACTTGCTGCTGAAGACTGAGGCAAAAAAGTCATTGAATACCTCAGTCCTGGGTAAATAGGTCTCCTGTATCCTTCCTGATAGGACTCACATTTTTTCCTAGTCTTTCTTTCAATGAAGGCGCTTTTTCTCTTAGCTATGATGCCCTTGGCCAGATTTACTTCTGCTGGTAAATCAGACCTAAACAAATCCTTGGCTTTTGGGACAATTTCTGTGTTTAACCCAGGCCACCTTTTTCCCTGTTTCCACCCTCTGTAAGCTACCTGTTTAAGTTTGTCCAGGAGCTCCTTGTTCATTCATACAGGTCCCCTGGTGTTCTTCCTTGATTTCATCTTTGTAGAAATACATTGCTTTTGATCCTAGAGAGACAACCCTTGAATACTGTGCAGCTCTCTTGGGCCCCTCTACCCTCCAGGGCCCTATCCCACAGCACTCTGCCAAGGAGATCCTTGAAGAGACCAAAGTCTGCTTTCCTGAAGTGCAGGGTAGCAAGCTTGTTTCTCACTCTTCTCATTGACTCAAGGATCTCAAACTACACCACTTAATGGTCACTGCACCTCAGACTACCCTTGAGCTTCACATTCCCCACCAGCTGCTCCTTGTTGGTGACAATGAGGTCCAGCATACACCTCCCCTCACTGGCTCTTCTGTCACTTAGAAGAAAGTTATCATCAGTGCATTTCTGGAACCTCCCAAACTGCTGGTACCCTGCTGTGTTGTCCTTTCAACAGGTATGTATAAGGGTGGTTGAAATCCCTCATGAGGACCAGGGCTTGTGAACCTGAGGCTGCTCCTACCCGTCTGTAGCAGGCCTCATTGACTCAGTCTTTCTGGCCAGGTGGCCTGTAGCAGTTTCCCATTAATAATGACACCGGTTCCTGCTCTCTCTTTCATTGTTACCCAAAAGCTTTCAGTCAGCTCCTCATCCATGCCCAGGCAGTGCTCCATGCATTCCAGCTGGTCAACACACAGGGCAACACCATTCATCTCCCCTGCCTTTCCCTCGTAAAGTGCCTTTGCCCTTCCATTCCAGCCGTCCAGACACAGGAGCCATTCTCCATTTCTCAGGATGCCAATAAGACCATAGCCCTGCAGGCTTGTGCGTGTCTCTACTTTCTCCTGTTTACTTCCCATCCTACCTGCTTTTTTTAGAATAGAGGATTTAAGCTGGTCCCCTGGTGAAGCTGACTTTCTGCCTAGAGTGGCTGGAATTCCTTGGTGCTCTTCCTGCAGGTGTTCTCCACAGACCTGCACACCCTCTCCAGGCTCTGGCCATCTCTTTCCGGCTCAAAGAGCCAACTGGTATGAGTGGGATGGCATGTCATCCCACATCTTATCATTGTTAAATCTCTTCAGGTCTCTCAATTTTTACACTTAAAATGCAATAAATTTTATTGTATTTTAAGTAAGAGATAACTGGACAGGATTTTTTCACTGTATTCAAAATTACTGATCCATCAATACAGTATGAAAGCCCATTAAGTATAAAGAGGGCTCAATCAAGTATTTCAAGACTACAAATATTCAGTGGCACACTTTCAAAATACTTCTAGTGTCAAATTACAAATTTTTATAATAATAACTTCTAAGTAAAAATGTATTTAAACAAGGACTATTACTGCCTTGCTAAAGGACACATGTGCATTCATACATAAATGTCAACAAAGCCCTGGGGATTCCTTGAGTATTGGCAGTTTATGACTGTTCTGTGCAACTTCTGAACTGTAGTTAGAAAATTCAGTTTATCACAAGGATATATTTAAAAGGTTGCTGTGTGAGACTGGCACAACTCATGATTATTGCTATTTTCTAAAATTGTAAATAAGCACCAATTAATTACATTGTTTTCAAGTAACAGCTAACCTCAACATTCTGCAACATTCACCATTTATGTTATATTAAACATCCTATCAAGATCAACTGCATCATTTGGAATCTGTGGAAAGCAAACATCCTAGATGCAATAATTCTATCCCCACCTGCAAGATTACATCATGGGTTCCTGAGAGCTTTGCAAATTTTTTCCAAATGTTCCTGTACTGCAAGCACTTTTTTTCTAGATCAAGAGAGTTTAGTTTCTAAAATTATAAATAAGCCTTCTATAATTCTAAAAAACACACTGAACACAAACTCCATTTGAAATGACAATTGCCACTTGCATTATTGAGAGATTGGATGTATTTCTGAAGAGAAAAGGCACCAGCAAAGTTGTTGAATCCAGATGGACTGCATAGACCGGAACATGTTCTGTTAGCGCCCTATGGAAGAAAAAGTTACATTTCAGTGCAACTGTATTTCTAAATTTCTAAATTGGTTTGGCTTCAAGATAGGCACACATTCATACTGCCTGAAATCCCTCACTTCACTGTCACCACTGAGTCATCTCCTTGGAATTTGAAAGGCGGGAAGCCAGCAGGTGTGCAGCAGCAAACTGTCTCTTGTGTAGGGAAGGAAGCAAGTTTTACTTACTACAGCACTGGCCACAGTGAAGGGAACCAGCAGAAAGAAACCATGACAGTGGTCCAAGTAGAGTGAAAAAACAAGCTCTCCTCCAAGTCAGAAATCTCAGCCTTTTTCCACACATAAAAAAAGGGCTACCCAATTTAAAAATAAGACTTGGGCAAGTATTTTAGAATCAAAGACATTCAACATGTTATTTTGGTCCTTTGTTCAATCGTTCTAGGGCTTAATGTGAAAACCATGAGTCACTAGGAGCCCATATGCCCACTTACTTTTGACCCTCGATGTTGAAAGACTGCGGCTTCGAGTCACCTGCAACACAAATAGAAAAGGAAAACTAGGTATGCTAAAGAACTGTACCCTAGAAAGCCACCTGGGGACCCATCAACATTCTGAAAATTTGCACATGTATACACAGAATGCAGCTCTACTGTTACAAAGTCAAGTTCAAGATCTTTCTCATTTTTTTCATAGCCTGCACACACACAAAAAAGTGAGCCCTACCCAAAGCCTCTCACATTTTCAATATTCACATTTTAAGTTGAGGGCACCTATGTCTATTTAATAAGGCAGGCTAATAATTAAAAAAATATACACATTTTTTACAGAAATAATTAAAATGTTGTGTAACCATACCATATACAGAATTCTGCTAAGGTTTCACATATCTTATTTGTACCACCTTCCCTTTTTGCTCACCCTACACTTATTTTCCACTTCTTTGATGCATTTAGTAAATTAGGAGTAAATTTAGGTTACTAATTCCTGAAGCCAGGAACTGTGTTGTATATGTAATCCGAAATGACTGAAACACTTCCAGATGATGCAATTATTTATTCAGAAGGGCGCTAAAGCAAGGGAAGTAGGGAAACAGCATTCCAAGATACACAGTTGATACTTCTGAGAATTTAACTATGATCTTTTTCTCATACAGTATCTCTACTGATCATTATTCTAGGCAATAACTACCTGTCAGTTCAGTTTCACCTCATTCAAGACCATCAAGCAAAAGCATTTATTCCTAGTGTTAAAATGTACATGTGGCACATCAGCATTTTTAACAGGCTGCCTACATTCCTAGTTAAAATACTTGATGCTGTTAACACTACAAACATTCAGCTGAGCCTTACATGACCAGGCAGGAGACGACGGCCACAGCTGCAGCTTCTGCTTCTAATCCTGCATCTGCGAGGACACTACAAGAGAAGTGTTTGACAAACCTCTTCTGAGAGAGAAAGTTTAATAAAGACAGACTCTGCAAGCAGACTTGCCATGCTGGAGACAAGGTTTGAGGACAGAGAGGAAACACACTAAGCTTTCTACTTAGAACAGGCTCTGACAACAACCATACATCTGCATAATTAATACATTGAGGAAAATGGAACTATTCATCCTATATACAGGATGAGGCACTAAAACCTAATTGATATTTGATATACTACTACACCAATACAGGGAACAGTTAAAAATTTATCTTTCCAAATTTTAAAAACAGTGTTAAAATCCATTTAACATATTCCTTTAACAAAATACATACCAAAGCTATTGTTTTAGTGACTACCTCTCCCTTTACTATTACAGCATCATTTTCCATCAGAGCAGGCCAGACATGATAGGCCACAAAGGCAGCTGTGAAATCTGAGTCAAAACTACGATAGTACCTGTTGAAACAAACAGTACAAGAAATGTCTGCATAGAAGTGCCATAAATAAGTTTCCAATCATCTGTGCTGATAAAAAGTAGCTACAGCTCGAATATCTTTCCACATCACAAAAATACACATTCTTTATGTGATCCTGTAAAAGAAATGGACTTGGAAGACAGACTTAGCAGAACGTACTGTTTACTTCTACTGACAGACATTCTAATAAAGCCATCTCACACTTCAGGCAGCCACTAGACCTTCATTTTTGCAGAAGTCCCATACAAGCTAGGGCCCCTGTGTCCACTGACAGATTAAATCTTCTGAGCAGCAATTTGGCAGAGAGTCATCCCCTTTTCCTGGAACATCTTGCTTAAACAAGCCCCCTATATAAAGGATATTACACAAATACTCAACTATAAATTTACATCCTAGTATCTTATGAGACATGAAGCAACTTGATTAAGATAAGATCCTCATATATTGAAAATGAAACAGGGACATTTTAGCTACGAAAAATTAATTCTAAGGTATATATACTACCACTCTACATCTGGAATATTGGCTAAATAACACACCTGGCTTTATGGATACAAACTCAGAACAAATACCAAATAACGGAAATTTTTTAAAAGCCATGCATCTATACTTTAGTATGTATTACAACAGCAAGTTATATAAAACAATGTCATAACCAGCGGTACAAAGCAAGGCATAGGGTTAAATTATGTTTGGCTGACCTTTTACAGAATGCTATCACACATAATAAACGGAGATATTTTAATTTCTGCAAGTTTTGCTCCATCTCTGTGTACCACATATGCATGCTATACATGTAAACATATGTATACATATGCCACATTTATCTAGATAGACAGACCAACAGATGTATGTGTCCCCCACAGCAGCACACCAAAACATATTACACGTGGTTTCTTAAGGCCATACACACCAAGTAGGTGGAAAAAGCACCCCAAGACTACACCAGAGCCTTGGTGCTTCTTAATTTAGCCAATAGCTTTGAGTGTCAAAAGCTAACTGTCCCATATTTGGATAGGATCATTGAGTAGTCCTGTATGACTTTGCACTCTCCTGTTGACAGTCTACTTCTCTATTTCTCTCCTTGACTTCTCAAGCTCTTCACCACCTGTGATCCATTCTAAATTATTACTAGAAACCTCCTCAGTGATGTTTTTTTGCTTTTGAGAGCAATTTTTTATGACTTATCAATTCCATTAATTTCCTAGACAACATGGAAGCACCCTACAGTTCTCTGCCCGCTAAAAAAGCAGCTTGACCCTATAGAAAAAAGAAAAATTATGTCATTGTGTGAATTTTTTTAAAACAAAATTCCCATTTTTAAGAGGCATATTTGCTTTTGCTCAGCTCTAGACCAGGAGAGATGGGAGCACATTAACACATGTATGTTGTACAGCAGCCACAGCCTGGAGGTTGCAGCAAACATGTTGATGATCCTGGTAATGACACCAACTGCCAGATCTCAGTAAAAATGACTTTTACAGAACAGGCAGTAAGGAGGAACAAAGATGCAAATATTTTTTAAAAGGCAGATAGAGACTAAACAGGGAAAGCTGACGATCATTTTCTTCTTAAATGATAAACTAAATATGCTCTCGAGACTCAATTTTATCCAGAAAATTGCTCTACTGTTCACTAAAATAATTGTTAACGTTTATGTACATGCTGCTATTTATACACTATCCTAAACCTTAAAGACATACCAAATTCACTACAGGCCAGGGGTTTTTTGCCGCAAATTAATGTTTAACAATCTTAAACTTTTATATTAATTAGGAAACAAGTAGACTGCACAACCTTTAATGGTAAGAGTTTGACTGAATATAAAGATTTCTTACATGGTCTTATTGAAAAGTTCTCCATCAACACCAACGGCAACATCAAGGGGAGGAATGAGTGTCTGCATTGAAAAAGCCAGACGGCACAAGTCTCGAATCAAAGAGCTGATCACAATGAAATCAACTTCTGCTGGACATGGAAGCTTTGGGTGCATGTTCATGGAGCAAATTACTTCCTGAAAACAAACATACATGAGTATTTTGCACTCACTAACAATTTTATTCACAAGCAAGTATAGAAATTCCCCCTAAATATGCCTCTCAGCTTTCTACATTTAAAAGTCAGTATAAAAAGCTCATATTGCCTTAGACTATTCCAAAAAACAATAGCTTCAGAAAAAATGTGCTGCTATAAACAAATAAAACAAGCTATTACTAAGTCATACATATATTAATCCTAGCATTATTGTTCTGGAAAGTAAACTGCTACAAGACAAAGTCCGTACAGTAACTTTTTTCTCTTTCAGGTTACAGTGCCTTTCTAGTGTGCATATTCTGAATTTATAGCTCCTGAAAGAGCTCACCACATCACTTCCCCACTGCCCTTGACTTACGTGGATACTGGGACAAACATCATACAGATCCTTGTGGCAAGCTATATAATCCAGGGCAGCAATTTCAAGTGACACAACTCCCTCACAGGGATGTAGAGCCAAAGTCTCTTTTACACTAACTTTGACCTTCCAGAAGGCCATCTTTGCTACACGGAAAGATTCCTGCAAACATAAAGAACATCTAGTTAAATACAGGAGACCTGTATTTAACTTAATTTTTATCAGCTATTTGAGAAAATGAATCTAACCCATCATCATCATAAGGAATAATATAATACACTGCTGTAAAGGAGAAAGCTAACTTATCGGGAAGGAATTCTCTGATTGAGTGTAATTTACTTGCAGAAGATTGAAAAGCTTCCCACCTAACCTTCTATATTTGCACAAGATTCCATCACAAACTTATGATCAATGCAATCATATTCAAAGATATCATGAGTTTTATGTGCCAGCATTTTATGTGCCACAGCCTAGCATGTAAGACAGTAACACTTCATTTGCTGGGAAAAGAGGTTGAACTGGAGAGTGTAAACTGAATGACACTTGAAAGAAAAAATCTTCAGTAAGTTAAATGTGCTTGGGATTACACACATTAAGAGATGCTGCCTCTCTAATACAGGTATGTGTTATATCATTTTTATATTAAAAAAGATTCAATAAAGAAAAAATGAAAACAACTTTCTTCAAAGTTCATGGTAAATATGGGGTATCTGGGTGGTTTCAAGGGACACAATTAAAACTAAAAAAGCACATAGCTACAAGCATAACGAAAGCATGATATGGAAAGATTTTTAGCTTTGTAGTGTTGTAGTACTTAATGCAGCATTCCCAAAAGAATTTTTCTAAGGCAATATTGATCACTGCAGCATCATCTACTTTTCAGGCCAAATCAGTCTTCTTTTAGTACCTGTACAATAAATCATTGACCCTGTTCCAATCTTGGGACAGGTCAGGTAGGACACTACACTGAGAGTTCAATGTAAAAGTGTGAGTGGAAGAAAGAAAAATCAAAATAAAAAAAAAAAGGAAGAAAGCTTTTCTTCTCTGCACTTGACAGAAATGCTAATTTACCCACAATTTAATCCAATGCAGACATAGTGTATTACAACACACCTCTGGCTTGTAAAATAAGAAGAAATATTATTTCTTTCTCACCACAGCTGCAACGTATATTATCCTCTGCACCACCTCCATGTTACAGACGTATGGCCTCAAAAGTGCCTCTGCATCCAAGCGTTCTTTAGCATAAATGAAGTTAAAGCGAGCTATGAGGCAGGCTCGACGTGAAGCACATGCCTGTCTGATCTGGCAAGGTGACCAGGTCGCCATGGAAAGGGCACAGGGCTTCCTCAGACAGCACGGGAGAGGAGAGCAGGGCCTGCACGGAAGAGGAGAGCAGGGCCTGCACGGAGGAGGAGAGCAGGGCCTGCATGGAAGAGGAGAGCAGGGCCTGCACCGAGAAGGAGAGCAGGGCCTGCACGGAAGAGGAGAGCAGGGCCTGCACGGAAGAGGAGAGCAGGGCCTGCACCGAGAAGGAGAGCAGGGCCTGCACCGAGGAGAGCAGGGCCTGCACCGAGGAGGAGAGCAGGGCCTGCATCGAGGAGGAGAGCAGGGC